TTGAGATGGCTAGCTAAGGTGATCCAGTTTCACAGACTACTTGAACAAGGACTTGAGATAAGCCCTGAACTTTGGCATTAGGCAGAGACTGGACAACAAATGATATAGCTACCTTTCCTGGAACTTGACAATTAACCCAAAATTTTTCTTTTCAGAATCCTCTAAAGATGACTTTGCCTACAACCAGCAGGAAGCAATTTTAAGAACACAATACCCACATTCCCAAAAAGGTAGTGTGAGGTGGGTGGTTTTTGGTCTTTCAATGGGTTTTGGGTTTGGGATAATTTTCATTGCTTAGGAGGGTTGGTTACAAGTTGTTGTTGTTAATGGTTAGAAAAAGAGCTAAGCAAAGGAGATTAGATTTAAGGTTCTTGTTTGAAAAAAAGATATATAGAAATGATAGAATAGAGGGTAGATTCCTGAATCTACTCTGAAAAGAAAAGATATACATAGGATATAGATAAAAAGATAATTATTGAATCCACTTTTAAAAGACAATTACTAGTTTTAAATACTTTACATTGGATTGGATTTTCGTATGTTGTATACAAACTATATATATTGAGATTGAGATAGTTAGAAAATGCTAAATGTATATTTCTAATCTTCAAGATATTGTACTTATACAGTTCGCTTAATAATGTAATGCAATTTGCTAATCCTTGAATGTTATTATTACCAACTATTAGGATATGAAGAAATGAAAGTTAGTAGTTAGACATTACAATCCAACTTGTAGTCATATTAGGTATGTTTTCAAGGTCAAGCAGATGTATTTTAGAGAGACAGGTCATCTTCAAACCTTTCAGAGATCTACAGAATATGGCATTTAAAATGTTTCAATAACTTAGAATTTTTTTCTTTTTTTATGACTATGAGACATGTCAGCTCATGGCAGCACCAATCTACTTCAGAGAAGATATGGTATTGAAGAAACTGCAATTGGAGTTAACTTTCATTGTGGCAAAAGTTAACCACTGGACAACAAAGTGTCCTTGAATCGACTGCTGACAAACAGGACAAAATGGACAGACAGGACACAAAACAAAGGACAAGTGTGGTTGTGGCTTTAGCAACAGGCATCCTCTGAGGCCAGGACAATATGGCACCATTGCTGAAGTGGCCTTTGCAATCTGGAAAAGGTACAGTGACCCTTTCTTCGAAGGCAGCTGAACAGGCAATGAACTGATGGCTTCTGATGTGCAGTGGAAGAGTAGCTGAAACAGTTAATCTCGAAAGAGTAACTAGGTTGACGGAGTCTAACCTCTCAATGGTAGACTGATATTTAATAAAAGAGATGAAGCCACCCACAAGCTGAGAAGAATGGGATGTGGAGAAGAACAGGATGCCGAGATGAAGTCACCCACAAGCCAAGAAGAATGGACAGCTGAATTCCAAAAACATCAACAATTTCCAGAATTTAAAATCCTGAATCATGACAGGACACTACTGGAATTCGGGTTTATCTGGTACATAGACAACTTGCACCGAATATGAGGTTGAACTGTAGGCCTTGTGTACATTCTACTTCACAAATGAGTCTGTCAGATACACTAAGCCTACAGACTGAAGATGACGCCCCAATGTTGTGGAGAAACCTCAGGTGACTGTCCAGGCAGCTGGCTGTTTCTGTCAACTCACATTTTTTTGGAAGTCACTTGTTTACATTTCCTGTTTTATTAGGTGATATTATTTCCTTCTTGGGTCTCTGAGGGAGTTGAAGATTAGATAGTTATGGTTATAGTTATAGTGAGTTGAAGATTAGATAGTTATAGTTAGTTGAAGATTAGATAGTTATAGTTATAGTTTTTCCTTGTTAAGAATTTCAGAAAAGAAACTCACTAGAGAGGTGTAAGTGTATAAATTTGAAAGACAGTATAAAATAGTTCTCTGTTAGTAATATAAGTTAGGATAGAAAATGATTCAGGTACATTACTTACCAAGTAGAATAGATAATGGAATATTTTCTCTGAGTCTGTCAAATACAAATGGACTAGACTTTGTTGAGGTATTTATTGCTTGCATATATTGTATATAGTTATTGTAATTATTGTATATAGTTTTTCTTATATTAGTTATATACTTTTTTCTTTTTATTAGAATAAAAGGGGGAATGTGGGGATATTTAATTGTGCTGAAATGTGATTTTATCTGTATGTTATTAAATAAAGTTTGCCTGGAGATCAGAGGTCACATAGTGAGGTCACATATTGAGGTCACATAGTGAGGTCACATAGCAAGTCATAAGCAGAAGTCTGGCGGTGGTAGCACACGCCCTTAATCCGATCACATGGCAGGCAGAGTCTCAGTGTGGTCAAAGACACAGCCAAGCGTGGTGACACAAGCCTTTAATCCTAGTACCAACCATAGAGACCTGGAGGTCTGTATAGATAGGCAGTGATGAGGAAGTCATGTGGCTGGGCTAAGAGCCAATGAGAAAGCAGAACAGAAAGGCAATAAAAACACAGGTTACACAGGAAGAAGCTCTCTCTTTGGAAGTGACAGCAGCAATGTGGTAAGATAAGGTAGTTGTGGCTCTTCCCTAGTTCTCTGATCTCTTTGGCTATTACCCCTGTAATTGGCTCTGTGTTTCTTATTTAATAAGACTGTTTAGAAATCCCTCTACAAATGCTGGCCTTACAGAACTTGCACTGCGCTTGAGGTAGAGAAAACATTTAAACTAAGAAAGAACAGGCCATGGAAGCCCACTAGGTTTGCCGCTTTAAGATAACAATTACAGGTGATCAAACAGTCCTACTTAGAACAATACTTCCCCTGTCCTAAATTCCCACACAGGGTCTGGGAGGCAGTACAGGAAAAAACAGTCAGCAGGCAAGGAGCAGATGGTTAAGGCACCCATTCAGTAATAGCATTATTAAGCTGTAAAAATCAGGCAATTCCCCCATTCTGGTTGTCTAGTTTCCCTGAACTTGTGAGTAAATACAAAGAATAAAAATTGAAAACTATTTTAGTTACTGTAGGCATTAGAGTAATAAAATTATATTTTCATGAATAAGAGAATGGGAAACAAAAATTGCTCCTAAAGCAAAATAACATTCTCTATGTAGGCTAAAAATAAAGTCTAGAAAGATGAAACTTAGATATTTTATATCTAATTTTAGATGACATATTATATGGTCAAATATATTAACTTCTTACACAATTTAAATCAAGAAATAGATTCAGTAATAAGAGTACAAATAACTTTTCAAAGGAAGATATATGGTAATAATACCACCACAACAAAATCCATATCAATTTGTTCTCCACTCAGAATTGAAAATTGTCCTTCATAACCTCTGTATTACAATTATCTTTAAAATGAATAACATGATTTTTTGAACCAAGTGTGTAACAATGTTTACAATAAACAGATACTAATGTGCATATTTCAAATACTAGGACTTTATATCAGGTTAATGGGTGGATAAGCTTTAAGTTTTTACCTCATAAAACAATCATATATAGCTCTTTAACCTTCTACGGCTTCTAGCATTCACTTATTTGCACAGCTACTGCTATAAAATGATGGGATAATCAACCCCAAAGTATTAGAGATCTGACAGAAAAATAATAATTGACCATGTAATAGTCTAGAGAACCTAATCCATTACCTAAGTTCATTTCATGGAAATTTTTATATAGTGAAGGGTGTAATTTTATTTGAAATTATATATTTCTCCTCAAGTCCAGATCTGCAAGTTAATTTCTATCACGAATTTGATCTCTAATGTGGTTCTGACTAAGCCTACAGATTGTGCAAATATTCAGTTGGTTTGTGAAGTTAAGAATCAAGATATGTAAAAGAGGTTTATTTTGTGTTCACGTGACATGGGTAACTGTATGTTACTAAAGTGATTCATAATAGGATATACTGGGAATGAAGTTCACACTATCAAGTGTATAATTAAGAACACAAAACTTGTCATCTAACTGGAGAAGCTGGGGTATAGAGGAGACACTAAAGGTAACCTCAGGCTTGTGGGTTCTGGGAAGCTGGGTGTAGGGAGGGAAGAATAAACTGGAATTAGATGTTATGAGATGAGTTTGAAGTGAAAATTGGGGGGAGGGCGACACTGTAGGGACAACACTGGATTAGAACTACAATTCACTTTTTATTAACAAATTAATGGTAAAGTCATGAGATTGACCACTCTAAACAGACATTATTTTCTAGGCTAACAAGGAAAATCACCATAACTTTTAAATTTTTCAAATTATATCAGCATTCTTGGGACTGTCACTTCAATTAGAAGCTGCCCTTAAGATCTATAAAAATCAAATGATACATGTCACCTACCAATTGTAATGTCTTTCCCATTTCGACACCATTCTTCATGTTGCACAGCCCTCAAAGGAAAGGGCTCCTGCCATCCCCAACCCAAGTGTTAAAAGGCTCAACAAGACCACTGGTGCACTGTCGTTGAGGTCCCTCAGGTGCTACCTGAACCACACCAACATGCCCATTCCTACAACAGGCCCATTCCTAACCTCGCACGTCTCTTGGCACATGAAAGAATTGTTTCGTGATAGATCTTAGGAGTAAAAATGGCCTAAAGCGACCTTTGACCTGGCTGCCCAGAAAGTTATGCTTTCTGAGAGGAGCAGCATAGCTTTAAGCTGTTCCGAACTTGCACTGCACTGCACACCTCATACTCCTACCTAAAATTCTGACTTAACTCCTAATTGCTAGACATGTTCTTTGATGTGTTCATCTTCAAATCTTTTGCTAGACCCTTTCAAAGCATGAATCTCACATCTCTCAAGATGAAGTGGGAAAGGAAGAAATGAGACCATTTGTAGCCTAGCAAATCCTCAGAAGGAAGGCAATGGATCTTAGTAAAATTAAGGAGGTCTAGAGTTCAGCTCTGCCCGGAGTTACTGGTATTCACAGAAGTGATTTGTCTCTGGCATTAACACATAACTTAAAAACTTTCTTCACTGTGAGAAACGCTAACAAGCATTCTTTAAAAAAAACAAAAAACAGCAGTGCAGCATACCTTAGGAATAGGATTCAGCAGAACCACCCCAGACTTCTTGGTGATGACCTGTTTGGTTGAGAAGTGGTGATCTATAAGTTGAGGGATGTTTGAAAACCCAGTGCCCTCAAATCGATACAGATTCTGGAGGGAGAACAACAAAACAGAATTATTAGGAGTCACTGTTTCAGAAAAAGCATCTTCATCCATGAGTTAAGTTCTATTTAAGGAGGGCTGTCAGTGCACAGTGACACAAATACATTTAACAACCCTCAACTACATACTTGTTAGATAGTGAAAATTAAAAGTAGACGGGAAAACGAGACTCTAGTCTACTGCCAAATCTTTTGACAGAAAAAATTTCAAAATACGCAGGACACATCACTATTATAGTAAGAGAAGCTAACAGAACTGCACTGCACTGTACTAACGTGATGACCAAGCCAACAAGACAGGTGCCCACTCAAGTTTAGGCACAAGAAAGATGTTGCACGTATCTCCCTGTATGCTCCATTCAATAAACTTTCAGTACCAAAAACACTGTCAAAAGTTTGAGGAAGCCTAGTAAAACAATAAATATCTTAATGTCTAAAGTCATTTCGTATTTGCTAATCTAATGGGTTTTTCTACAGCAGGACTTCAAGGTAGTATTGACTATAAAAAAAATAAAGGTCCAAACATCATTCACACAAGAAATGAAGATAAAGAAATAAAGAGTATCGGTGCTAATGCCTTCGAAATCAGCAAGCTCAGAGCTTTAGTACCTTTTTAGAAGAATTATTTTGTTATTTTAAATGTATGTGCCATGTGAGTATACGCCATGTGTGTGGATGCCCACGGAGACCAGAGCTGGCTAGATTCACAGGCGGTTGTGAGACTAACTGAACTTTGTCCTCCACAAGAACAGCACATTCTCCTAATGGCTGAGCCTTCTCTTCAGTCTCCTATCTTCGCTCATTCACATTTCCTGTCACTGGGTAAGGAACATATTCTCACACTCTGTCATGTTCTTCCTGGCTTTCCTATTTAAACAGACCAGTAGTTAGGTGTAAGAATGGGCAGCAGGAAATAGAGAAGTAGCCCACTGACCACACTTCTCAATGCCAGAAGAACTGCAATGCAATGCATTAAAAACTTCGGTGTGGTTCTTCCTTAGGCTTAACTGTAGCACATAGGACGTGTGCAGATACAAATGTAAATATGCATTTTAATATAACTATTAAGAAATACAACTTTCCAACTTTATAAAACCAGGCAGAAAAAGCAGGAGTGACTGCTATAAGCTGAGAAGGAGAACATGAGAGAAACAGCAAGAAGTTGGATAAAACAAACTAAAACCCCACTGGAGAGGGGGAATATGTTCTGCTGTTCCACAGCACAGTGCAGTAGAGATGAAAATGTAAAATGTCACAGAAGTACAGCATGCACTAATAACACCAACCCCAAAAACATTTCAGACAAATATATGATTTCTACATTTTTTCTTCCAATTTACTCTTAACACAGCAATTAGGGTCTAGTGTCCCTAAGGATCACTCCTTTGTATGCTAATTTGAGCTCACTACTGTCTGCCTACCTCATCTCCCGCCACTCCTCCTCCTTGGCTCATTAGTCTCCAAGCACTGACATTACCTTCCTGTTCTAAAACATGATATGCACTCCTTCCTCAGAGAGGTGTGTTGGTTTGCTACATGAATTAATTCATAAGACAGACAGCCCCACAGGTAATATCTCCTTTCCTGACTTCTTTTCCCAGCTTTCATTAAATATCTTTTCTGTGAAGTTAACTCTGGCCACCTACACAATATACAATCTCCACTTTCACACCCCAATTTAACTTCTCACCTCCTTTTCCTTATTGACATAATTCTCCTTACAATATATGACTATTGCCTTTCTGACCCTATCATCACATATTCTTAAAGGTGTGTGTGTATGTGTGTATGTGTGTGTGTGTGTGTGTGTGTGTGTGTATGTGTGTGTGTGTGTGTGTGTACCCACAGAGATCAGAAAAGGGTGTTGGATTCCCTCAAGCTGGAGTTACAGGTTGTGAGACATTTAGCATGGATGCTGAGAGAATCCAACTCGGATATTCTGGAAGCCATCTCTCAGCCCCAATTTTCCCTTTCTTTTTTTCTTTTTTTTAAATTATCTATCTCCCTTCTAGAGTGCAGACATATTAGGCAACACATTTGTTCATTTCCTTCTCAGCATCATAGCCCTATGGTCTAGTACAATCTGTGGCATATACAGGCTGTAGAAATAGACATCTGCGAACAACACGAAATGCAGTTAAATGTTGTAAAGGAGACAAGACAGTCTACAAACGGACAAAGGAAAGTCCACACACTCATGAGCACGAGACATTCAAGTACAATGTTTAATAATAAGTAATAAGTAATGAAGCCCACACAGAATGAAACTTGAAATCAACCCTGCTATAAACCTCAGAGTAGTTACTGCCCTGTCCTAATGATGACTTCATGATTACTATATAATGGGAAAAAATTCCAGCTACACAAGGATGAGCCACAAATTCAGAACTGTTATACAAAAAATGTGTTGGCTTTTTATTGCACATTAAGACTCAGAGCATGAATTTAAAATGTGCTTTAAAGAGCCTAGAGACTACAGCAATAAAGCTAAGTAATTCAGAGATTTAATCACCTCAAAGTGAACTTGATACATGATCAATATCTTCTCTCTCCATTTCTTAATTTAAAAAGTATGTTATTGACCAAAACTTTGTGCATATATGAACTACAATGTGATGCTTTCATTCACGGCTGTGTCAGGAAACAAATTACTCAGGAAGTAGCATAGCCACCACTCTAAACTTTGCTCATTTTGTTACGGTGAGTACGTCAAAATTCTTCTAACTATTTTGACATACATAATGTATTATTGTTAATTATGTTCTAGTGACCATGCCATGAAAACCAGGACTTATAACACTGGACCACTGGACCTGTTGACGGGCCTCTCGAGCTTTCCCTCTCCCTACTCTTTCAGCTTCTGTAGTGATGACTCAACTCTGGGCTGCCACACAGCAAGCGTCTTCTACTTGAATTGTTTCACATAATAACACGATCCCAGCACATCCATGCTGCTGGCTACGGCAGGATTTCAAAGGGTTTTGTGGCTGAACAGTATGCCATGGTGCACACGCAACGCCATCTCTTCTTTATCCAGCTCCTGGACATTTAGGTTGATTTCACACTCTGACTACTCTGAATAGCGTAGGGTAAACAATGGAGATGTATCTTTTTTACAGGTCCATTTCAGTTACTCATATGATCCTAGGAATGGGGTTTCTGGATCACATCATTCTGTGCTCAGGTTTCTGAGGAAGCTCCACACTGATCTCCATAATGGCTATGCTAATTAACATTCCCCACAAAGATACAGACGTTTCTTCATTTCCTCACAGCCTTGGCTTCATGTGTCTTCTGAAAAAACAGACGTTCTCAAAGGAACAACGGGCTGCCTCGGTGGTTTTAATTTATATGGCTAGAGATGTTGAACATCTTTCGTGAATGTCTGTCGCCATTTGTATTTCTTCTAAGAAAAAAAATCTATTGAAGAAATGCTACTGTGAAAGGGTGAGACTCGTGGGGTCACACCCCAGGACAAGGAACTCCAGGCAATGAGTGACTGGTGAGAGGGAGATCAGCTGCTCCCAGGGATGAGCCCTCTAAAAGGCCGTTCATTAGAAAGTGGTCAGCCCTCAAACCATATACACACAGACACCAAGAAGACTTAGCAGGTTGTATTTACGTACCTGTGCATACACAAAGATATATACATGTAAAATAATAACAATGGGGAAAAAGAGGCTATCGATTTGAGAATGGAGGCAACATGGAAGGAGAAGACTTGGAAGGGTCTGGATGGAAGAAAGGGAAGGGGGAAAGTGATGTGATTTTATATATATATATATATTTGGTTTTTCGAGACAGGGTTTATATTCTTAATAAATTTTATAAAAAATAGAAAATTGCTCTAAAGTCTATTCGTCTATTCAGACCATCCTTCTTTTTAATTGGTTTATTTGGTTTCTGTGCTATTGAGCCACGTGAATTCCTATGTACTGTGGAAATAACCCCTTCGGCTGTACGGTTTGCAAATGCTTTCTTGACTCTGTTAAACTGCCTCTTTACTCTGCTGATGGCTTCCTTTCAACGCAGAGGCTTTCCTAGTTTGACGTGAATGCAGCAAACAAGGTTTTGTTGGCCATATTTGGAGACGTATCAAAAAACCACTTCCCAGGTCAGTATCTTAAAGCATTTCCCCTGGTTTCCTCTGGTAGTTTCATGAGTCATGATTTCATGTGTAAGCTTTACTAGATTTTTATTTGATATCTGTAATGATGAGAGAAAGTGGTTTCACTCTTACGCATACATACGGTCATCTAATTTCCCCAACACCACTTCCCTAACAGAGCCATTGTGAATTCTTGGCTCTAACAAAAATCAGCTGGTCACAATGAGTGGGCTGGTTTCTGCCTCTCTATTCTGCTCACTGAAATACAGTTCTGTTTTTAATGTCCTTTGATGACAACTTCCTTGTATATTTCTGGGTCTGGTTATGATGCCTCCAGCTTCTTGCTCAAGATTGTTTTGGTTATTCGGGTTTATCTATAGTCTCTTATGAACTTTGAGATTATTTATTGTAATTCTTTGTTGATGAGTCTGCATACCATACAGGGACATTCGAACTATATTGACTTTTCCATACATACAGGGTATCTTTGTATTTACTTGTATGTTTTTCAGTATTCTTCATCCATGTTTTATAGTTTTCATTTCCTTTCACTTCTCTGTTAAATTTGTGGCTAGTGTTTATAGCTGTTCAAAGTGGGATTGTTATTTTCTTCTTTTTTTTTTTTTTGGTCAGGTAGCTTTCTCAGCATACAGAAATATGATCACTTGGTCTCAGCCTTTCAGCTAAGACCAAGCACATGCAGAAATACAAATGTGTTTTGAGTGCTGATTTTGGATCCTTGATTTTATAGAATTTACTGGTTCCAACAGTTTTTTGTTCTTAAGTCTTTTTAGAATTCACTGTGCATGAGACCAGTTCACCTTTTAACAAGGGCAGTTTGCTTTTTTCTTCATTATTCTGGATTCCCTTGATTTTTTTTCTCCTACCAATTGGTCTGGCAAGGACTCACAGTACTATGTTGACAAAAGGCAATGACACTGGGCATCCTTGTCTTGTTCTAGACTTCAGAAGGATGCTTTCCACTATCTCTCCATTCTGTATGGCATTAGCTGTGGGTTTGTCATAAATGACTCTCCTGAGTTACAGTAGTCTTTCCACCCTGAATTGTGTAGGGTATTATACCATGAATGAATTTTGAATTTTGTAAAATGCTTTCTAAGTGCCTACTTAAATTTCCCTATGCTTTTTGTGTTTGACTCTGTTAATTCATCAGCTATTTTATACTGAAGCATTCTTGCATCTCAGGAATGAATCATTTGATCACAGTGAATGATCTTTTATAATGTGCCATGAAATGTAGTTTCCTAGCATTTTATTTAACATTTTATATCTATGTTCATAAGCAGTATTGGTCTACAAATTTCTTCTGAGATTGTTCCTTTTCTGTTATAGGTATGCATAAGTTTTTAAGGATTCCTTCTTTTTCAATTTTTTAAAATACTTTGAGAAAACTGGTACTAGTTCTTTAAATATTTGTAGATCTTATAAGGAATGCATCAAGTGTTAGGCTTTTCTTTGATTACTTTGAAAAAGTGATACAACAGTAATTTTACTAATAAAATTTTATTGTCATTTTAATAAAAGTAATCATTTATTACTGATTCAATCTCAGAGCTCTTTATTAGTCTCTTTATATTCTAGATTTCTAGGCCAGTATGGTAGGCCACAGCTCTAATTCCAGCACTATGGAGTCGAAGACAGAAAAATCCCAAGTTCATGGCTAGCCTGAGTTACATAGTAAGACTGTCTAAAACAACTGGGGGAAAAAAGGTTTTATATGTATTATTCAAATTTGGTAACCTGCATGCCACAGAATTTATCTGCTCTTCTAGACTTTCTTTTTATTCATGTTTGGAGAAGGGCACCGTTCCGGTGTGAGGCAGAGGGCAATTTCCAGGAGTCAGTTCTCTTTCCAGCATGTGAGTCCCAAGGCTTGGTGGCAAGTGCCTTGAGCAGCTGAGCGATCTCACCAGCCCTCTGGTACTTTCCACATGTTGTTAGACTTGTTCCCAGGCCTTTCGAATGATCCGTTGTTCTCTGGTGGTGTCAGCTGCAATGTCTTACCCTCATCTCTGATACTGAGTGTTGCTCTTCATTTAGTTAAAGGCTTATTAAGTTTATCCTTTCCAAAAGCCACCACACTACATTTGTCTTTTTGTATTTCTCAAGTATTTCACGTACCCCTGCTCTGACGTGTAACATTGCCTTCTACTGATTTGGTTCTTCTTTTTCTAGTTCCTTAGGAAGCACCCCAAGGTCTCCAGCTGAATTCTTGCTATTACTTTTTGAATGTTGGCTCTGGTTGCTAGGGTTTTCCTTTGAGAATGGTGTTTGTCATAGTCTATAAGTTTTAGTGTAATGTATTTCCATTTCTATTTACCTCATGAATCTTATATTTCTCATTTAATGTTTTCAGTGATTTGTTTCTTCAAGAGTATTTGATTTTCATGTATCTAATGCTGTTTCCAGGGTTTTACCTATTGTTGATTTCTAGATTTATTCCACAGTGGTCAGAAAAGACATTTTGATTTTTTTAGTTGCTATTTTTTTTGTAGCCCAACATATAGTTTGTTCTGGAAAATGCTCAGTGTGCAGCTGAGAAGAATGCTTAAAAGATTGCTGCTAGATGCAATGCTCTAAAAATGTCTTAGGTCCATTGCTGACTCCTTTGTTCCTTTTGTTGATTTTCTAGTTAGATTATCTGGTCACTAACAAATGCTGGGTACTGAATTCTGCTCTTATTATGTTACAGTCTATCTTTCCTTTACGATTTATTAGTATCTCTTTTATGTATTTATCTACCTACTAAATTTCCCATGCTAAGTATCACCTCTAATTTTTTGTTGTTGCTAACTCATATGTTTAGGCCTCACATAATACTGAATAAATATTTCCTGAATGAATGAATAAGAGAATAAACAATGCCATTATAGGAAAACTTTTCACCAAAGTTTTATTTTAAAATATGTATCATTTTATTTTGAATTTATCATTGCCTATTAATCTAAATGGCATGGTTCAGTCAACCCTAAGTTCAAACTGATATGTATACAAGTTACTAAATCCCTAAAATCCTATAGATTCTGCTTCTGATCATGGCTTAATCTTTCTGTAAGGTAATTAATATTACTCTTGTGCCTCAACAGAAACTTAAATCCTGTGGACAGGCATTTTCAAGTGAAAGCCATTTGAAATACTGGAGTGAAAATAAGAAAAGCAGGCAACAATTCTTCCATCTGCCAAAGAAATTGCCACTATAAATTTCTCAATCAGTAAAAGCAAAAATGTCAAAATTACTATTCAGCCCTTTAGTGCTTAATAAAGACAATATTAACAGGGAGTGGTTTGCAATACTTGGAGACCTGAGTTTGATTCCCCACAACCCATGCAGAGGGAGAAGGAGAGAAATAACATCTGAGAGTTGTCATCTGACCTTCATGCATGTGTGCCCTCCCCCCTCCACATCACACAATGATCATAAACAACGTTTTAAAAGAAAGCAGCTTAACAATTCCAAATCTCAAAAAATAAATTAGCCTTAGGATAAATAATGTGAATATGCTGTTCATATTTCTTTATCATTTTCTATTTATTGCTTATTAATACCAATAGGTATTATAGAAAAAAAAAGAAAAAGATCAATAATATTGAATCATAAATTCACCACACTGAATTGAAGAATTTCATTCACACTAGTCAATAAAATAGATGACAGTTTGAAACTAGTTAAAGAGGTGCCTTCAAAAGTACACATCTCATAATCTTAAGTTTTACTACAGGAAGAAAACACACAGCATTTACATTACTTTTGTTTTAATTTAAAATATGTTAATACTCAATTTCAACATTTTAGATATTTACATTTAAATGTAATGCTATTGATTTTTAAATATGATATTATTTTAATCCGTTTTGGAGCATCATATTTATGGAACTGAGGAAAAATTCAATTGTTTATTTTTTTGTTTGTTTGGTTTTTTGTTTTGTTTGGTTTTTTGTTTTTTGAGACAGGGTTTCTCTGTGTAGCTTTGGAGCCTTTCCTGGAACTCACTCTGTAGCCCAGGCTGGCCTCAAACTCACAGAGATCCTCCTGCCTCTGTCTCCTGAGTGCTGGGATTAAGATGTTTACTTCTTATGCACTCTATGTTTAGCAGCATTCTGAATGTCATGAATAAATGCACCACCACCACCCGGCTGAAAAATTCAACTGTTAAACTTATTGTGTGTCAAGCATTTCTTATCAACCATCCACCATTACACTTCAAGCATACCAAAATGGACTCCATCAATAATCACATATGAACTAGCCTGGGAACATACATCGACAAACTGTATGATGAAGTGTCTCCTCTGTCCATCTGAGTACACAGAAAGGACATATTCACCGGGTTTCCCATGGCTCTCTCGCACCAAGAAGTCTCCTTGCTGCCTCAGTAGCTCTTGGGCCTCTATCCTGGGGATTGCGCCATGGTACCAGTCATGCTCCGCCAGGGGCTTCTCACTCATAGAGGTCACGTCAGAGAGCTGCACAAAAGTTTTAAAAACCAAGTTAGAAAAATAAAATCTTATTTTGTCCTAATAAAATTCACTGCAAGTAAAAATACTTCTTACATATGCTCTGCCTTCATCGGCCAATTAAAAATCAAATGATGAATCTGATATTTTCACAATTATTAAAGAAAATATCCCCTGGAGTACTGGGGCTGAGGTTTAGCACAAATACATAGCTTTCAATACTTTCTATCATGCACAGGAACTTTACCATTTAAGGTTAACAGTCCTATTCTTATTGCCCTTATCATAAAATAAATCTATGTAATAATATTCATCAACCAGAGGGAATATAAAAAGCATTTTCAGAGAAATTTGTCACAAACACATTAAACATGTTTCATTCATTGAATTAATTAACTCTAGACCACTCAGACTGTGCACTGTACCTAACAGGAGGTAGGGATGGGTCTCGGCTTCCGCCTGGAGCTGCCTGGCTAAGCTCTTCTCACTCACTCCTCTACCTCACCTCTGCTAAGCCATTGCTCTGTCACAGGGCTGGGCTTGGTTTTGCAAAGCTATGGCCGACAGAGCCCCGGGTGAAAGAGCATCCAAAAAAAAACAAAAGAGCAGTGTGGGAAAGCAACACATGTGGGGATGACTACAAGCTATGAAACAGAAAGGAAAGCAAGTCGTCTACTGTTTTAGGAGAACACACGCTCAAACCAAAGAGTGGAAATAAGCAAGAGCTAGCCACACTGCCCTGAAAATCCTGAAATTAGGGGTAGATGAAATCAGACACGTTATGTTCACAAGGAAGTTCTGTTGTGTTCTATTCATCCACAAGAACTAAACTGCCCTGTACTGCTGGGGTATGGTAGCATGTATGTATTTTGGAGTATGGTAGCATGTCCTTGGAAAGAACCCCACACACACATTCCTTCATGGCTGGAAAGAGCTGAGTACGTACTTCCACCAAGGAGCCCAAATTAGCCTTTCCTCCTCATAGTCATTTATCTCATGCACTTTGTCCAAGAAAAGGAAAGCTGACTAAGAAGATAAATAAAAGGCAAACATACAAATATGAGGATTTATAGGCTAATATTATAGGCTAATAAGTAGGTAGTAAGTGAAAACTAATTCTGAAGATAGGCTTCATTAATCTGTCCCACTGAAGAGGTCTAAAACTCCAACATGCTATTACCCAAAACTCATCTTATTGCTATAAAAAGAAAATGTCCCAAATAGGCCTCAAGCATGCTGTACACTTTGATGATTGTTCTTCCATTTATGTCACCTAAATTTTAAAAATATGTATATGATACGACAATTTTTATGGCAATTTTTCATAAGTATAGCAAGCTTTTATTTCTTTTAGTGCTAGCAACAATGAAAATAATAATATATAACAAATCAACCACCAGTAATCAAGTAAAGGATACTACATTTAAAAGTGAGTGTGAAAGCTGCCCAAAGCTCTTCGTGAACTGATATCAAGAGCTGGTAATTTTTAAGGAAGGTAATCAGGAAAAGTGGATATTTGTTTCCCATATTTATCACAACATATAAAAATATGGCAAATCCAACTTTGTTTTTTGCTGTAGTAGGAACCTGTTGCTCAGTCTTTCCAACAGCAGAAGTACCCAAAGACGAGGAATCCACATTATGTCATTCTCTAAGGGTCTTCCTGACAGAACGGCGGCAGAAGCAAGGATACCCAAGTCTGTTCTCTCTCCCTAGTCAGCCAGCTGCCCATCAAAACTGGCATGCACTTAGAACTGGAAGAGTCTGAAGAACCTAGCAACTCTGAAAGGGGTTTGAAATACAAGGTTCAACTAACATGGAAGGAGTTATTGGTAGATTTGAAGATGAAATATGTTGGGGGGGTGATCATCTTGAGAGAATAACTGTTTTGTACTTTGTATTTTGTGTTTAGAAAACAAATATATTTTATTTATAAAATATGCCCCACTATCAATGACAGCAAGTTTTCACCAGTAGTCACTGGCAATTTCTTATCACACATTTCAACTGAAAATGTAAGAAGATCAGTGCAATAATCACCTTGTAGGCATACTTCAGTGTAGAATACAGGAAGTGTGACAAGATCTGTTTCTTTTTTTTTTTTTTTTTTTTTTTTTTTTTTTTTGGTTTTTCGAGACAGGGTTTCTCTGTGTAGCTTTGCGCCTTTCCTGGAACTCACTTGGTAGTCCAGGCTGGCCTCGAACTCACAGAGATCCGCCTGGCTCTTCCTCCCGAGTGCTGTGATTAAAGGCGTGCGCCACCACTGCCCGGCCTGTTTCTTATTTTAAACATTTGAACTTATACATGAAAGAACAGATTGGGTTTCAGACAATAAAAACTGTACAAAATTAACCCCAATAAGCCCTTCTTGAAAATTATGTATAATACAAGTAATTCAAAACTTGCAACTCAGAGAATAACTTTGATGTTCCCGAATGTGACCGTGTGGAAGAAATTAGCATATGGCTATAATAATAATAAAAAAGTTTATATTTCCTTGTTACTTTCTAACACTTTAAAACTGAAAAAAGGAAATTAAGACCTTAAGAATAATAGAAGACAACTGGTGTTTAGAATGTATAATATTTAATTTTGTCTTGTTATGGGAATAACAAGATTAGTCTTCTAGATACAAAGATGAACACTGAAAAGTACATGAGAGCAATTAACACTCCTCAATTTTGATGGTGGGAGGCACATATCATAATACTGATATCATAACTGATAAACCCCTGAAACAGCTATAATATAGCTTTCAAGAAAAATAAAAACAAATGATTGTATATAAAAATAAGCACATTTATTGTATGTTCAAATTCTAATTCAAAGGTTCCCTCTCACCCCCTCAAGACAGGGTTTCTCTGTGTAATAGTCCTGGCTGTCCTGACATTTGCTTTGTAGACCAGGCTGGCCTCAAACTCAAGAGATTCACCTGGCTCTGCCTCCCAAGTGCTGGAATCATGCCCAGCTCAAAGGTTCTTAAAATTAAAATAATACCCATGTCAATACAGTAAATGAGTTTTAAAGAAACAGGGTAGACTAATTTAAACCTTTTGCTCTTTAAACAACGTTTTGGATTAAGTAACAGTAATTGGAACCAACACGTGGAAGAATCTGATTTTAAATAATATTTTTTCAAAGAGTCCTATAATTAGAGGGACATTATATAGACCAAAAGAATAATACCAGTTCTCAAGTGGCTATAACATGGAACAAGGGGATTGCTCAGTCATGCATTTGACCAATTCTATATAAAAGAAGCCTCGGAGAAAGGGCAATATGCCTGATATGGTTGGAATAAGTCTCAGTAATTTCAGTATGATCTGAAAGCTTTCCAACTCAAATGAAGCATTATGATTGCCAGGAGGCTGGAGGAAATGCTGCTAACACTGCCCAACACCTCTGTCTTTGGCTTCAGAAGCAGGGTCTGACAAACAGTTCTCAGTGCAAAATGACAGCCTTGTGAAGATGGGGAAGATACTGGGTGTGGAGCTGGTCCCAGGCTCTGGGATATGAATGATGTGCTACTTGGCCCCCTTCATATGCTGAAAAAAGCACCTTCTGGGAGATGATATAAGATGTTAAAATGTTGGGGTTGGGGATTCAGCTCAGTAGCAAGTGCAAGGCCCTGGGTTCGGTCCTCAGCTCCAGGAGGAAAAAAAAAAAGATGTGATAATGTGACCCTCAGCACAACAGATAGTACTATCTGACATGTCAGACACAATATACAGTTAGATCCTAGTTCATCTCAGCTCATTTTCACCTCGTGTCTTTCCTTCCACCAAGACCCAAAAGTCCCACTGGACCCTCTTAAAGGCATATTCATAATTTAATCATTCAGTTAAAAACATGAAGACTAATAGCTATGACAGTTAAAAGCACTATTATGAGTAATTTAATCATTCCCTATATATATTTGCTTTATTTTATCTAAAATTAAATTTTTTAAATTTAAACTTTAAAATTAAACTTTAAAAACACCCAGGGCTATTACACAGAGAGATCCTATCTTGAAACCTATCCCCCACCTCCTCCCCCCCAAAAAAAAAACCTTTAAAATTTTTTTTTTTTTAAACTACTTCCCACTAAACCTAGGAGGGACTGACATTTGTAGCCTCTTATACCCATTTTTCAGAGCCTGAATATTGTTTAAGATCACAGCACCACCACCACGATTCCTAATGTTCTGTACATTTGTTTTGTTTTGTTTGAGACAGCTTCATTCAGCCCAGGCAGGCCTGGAACTCACTAAGTCAAGAATAGCCTCCACCTCCCAAGTGCTGTGGTTACAAGCATGCACACCACCCTTCCTCTTCTATGCAGTGCTAAAGACTGAGGACGGTGTTGGGCGGTGCATGCCAGCTTTACACTCTGACTGAGCCCATGGAGGCAGTGTGTGACTGAACTACATCCCTAGCCTCCTAAGTTTTCCTTTTTATATAATTTATTAAGACTTATCTGCATGTACACCTGCATGCCAGAAGAGGGCATCAGATCCCATTATAGGTGGCTGTGAGCCACCATGTGGTTGCTGGGAATTGACCTCAGGACCTTTGGAAGAGCTGCCAATGCTCTTAACCACTGAGCCATCTCTCCAGCCCCCAATTTTTTTTTTTTTTAGTTTTTTTTTTATTTTTGTGTGTGTTAGTGTTTTTGCCTGCATGTATGTCTATATGAGGGTGTCGGATCCCCTGGAATTAGAGTTACGGACAGCTGTGAGCTGTTATGTGGGTCCTGGGAATTGAACCTGGGTCCTCTGGGAAAGCAGTCAGTGCTCTTAACCACTGAGCCATCTCTCCAGCCCAACCTTTAAAATTTTTAAATAAAGAAACAGTGATTCATAATTGCTGATTTCTAAATATTTTAAACAAATATGCTTTCAAAAGGAGAAAAATGAATTCAGACCTCTACCCGACTCCACACAGAAAAGCAACTCCATGTCTTAAGGCATATGTGAGGGTCTGGGAAGGAGACAGAGGTGAGCATTTGCCAGCATCATCTCATATGGGCAGTGCTTTCCACGTATGACATCAACGTCACAAAAAGGAAAAAGTGTTCATCAAAATTAAAAACCGTGTGACGCTATCAAGAAAAAACGGCAAACTGATAGGCTAAGAAAAAACATTCGTATACTACATATATGATAAAGGAACCTGTTTCCCCAAAACAACTTAAAACTCATGCAACTCAACATCTAAAAAATCCAAGCTTACAGCTGAGGGTACAGTTCACTGATAGCGTGTTTAGCATGCATACATGCAAACCTGGGTTCAATCTGCAGACTGTCAAAAAAGCAGACAAAAAATTTTAAGCATGCAAAGACTGTTAAATATAATCATCTCTAAAGAATACATAAACAGCCAATTAGCACATGAAAAATACTAATTAGTCATTAGAAAAATTCAAGTGGCTGGAGAGATGGCTCAGAGGTTAAGAGCACTGGCTGCTCTTCCAGAGGACCCAGTTCAATTCCCAGCACCCACATGGCAGCTCACAACGGTCTGTCACTCCAGTTCCAGGGGATTTGACATGCTCACACAAACATAAATGAAGGCAAAACACCAATTCATATAAAATAAAAATAAATAAATTATTTAAAAAGCGAGAGGCTGGAGAGATGGCTCATCAGTTAAGAACACTCACTGCTTTTCCACAGGACCCAGGTTCAATTCCCACCACCCACATAGCAGCTATCTTTAACTCCAGTTCTAAGGGACCCCATACCCTCATACAGCTATACATGCAGGCTAAACACTAATGCACATTAAATAAAAATAAAAATAAAAATTTTTAAATAAAAAATATCAAATAAAAAGGACAATGACAAACCACAGTCACTAGATGCCTGCAATTAAAACAAAACAATAAAATATAACAAAACCAGGAAAACAGCAAGCATTGTTAATTTTGTGAGGAAACAGTAACTTTCAGACATACATTGTTATTAGAAATGCAAATATTGCCACCAATGTGGAAAACAGACTCTTAAAAAATTAAATTTAGAATTCCTATATGCCTCAGTAATTCTACTGTTAGGTATATAGCAAAGAAAAATTAACTCATATTCACAGAAAAATGAAAAATTTCCATGGTAACATTCTTCATACAAGCCCCAAAGTAGAGTTTATCATATGATGACAAAACTATGATTTTATCAGATGATGAAGAGACAAACTATATAAATCTAAGCAATGAAATAGTAATCAGTCTTAAAAAGAATTGAAGATTGCCACATGGTACAACATGAATGAACCTTAAAAATATTATAGTAATAGAATGAAACTAAACCTAAAAAGCCTATTGCTATGACTCTGTGCATGGGAAAGGCCCTGCAAGAGGCACAGTCACAAGGATGTGAGGTTTCAGGAGATGAGGCCAGTGGGGACTGAGGCTATCTTCTAATAGGTGTGGAGTACTGTTTCGGGGGACTAAACCATTCTGGCATCCTGTGGTAATTATGGTTGCACAACACAGTGAAAACTCTGAAACCTCTTGGTGTACATATAAAAACATGAATTTTATGTTCTATTCAGTCCACCACAAGAAAACAAACCATGTGCTAATGTGGCAAGGGCTTTCCTGTATAAGAAAAAACATTTAACATAATCAAAACATTTTAAATTCTGACTAAGTAGTCTCTAAATACCTATTCCCTTTAGACTCCCAGGCTTATGGTGCAACAACCACATTCACATTCAAACTCAAGAGCTGAGTCAGCCTCGTGCTTGAGCGGAGAGAGAGGGCAGACAGCAGGTAACACTAGAGCACACTCCAAGTGCTTGTTCAGGACAGTTCTTGCTCAAACAAACATGTTAAAGACAGAACTCTAATGCTCCACCAAGACACACCAAACTGAAATTTCAATGATTAATCTATCAAACAGATTACTTTTATTATCAAATGTTCTTCACAACTAACACATTTGAAGAACCCACACACAGTAACAGCGATTATAAAAGTGTCGTTGCCCTAGACATAGTGTTTATTCTATTCCTCTAGTGAGGTCTCAAACACAGGAAAAGCCCCATAATTATATACACGCAGCACAAGAAATCTCTACCATGCTGGTTCCTTTTACCCATGTTTACCACGGCAATTCAGTTAGTACATCCCAGCATGGCCTCACATCATCCCACATCTTCATTAGAAGTTAGAGGTATATTTTGAAAAAGCCTTCACACAGCCTTGATCACACTATGCTGTGGGAATTCTTCTGCCTTTACAAATATTTCCTATAGCTAGTATCTTACTATGCATAGTAAACTATGACAGTGGACTATGTATAGAAAATGCTTGTAGAAATGGTTCAACAGTACCCAATTTCCAGCATCCAGTGTCCACAGACAATAAGGAAGGTCCATTGCAAAAAAGCGATTTCCATCCTTGTAATAAAAATTGTACTTGGGGGTCTACTATATTCAAATGTAAACAGAGTCCAATGCACAGAGAAAGTTGAATCTGCTCTGATTTTGTTGTTTGTGAGCATAAACATACAACACCCTGAAAGAAGAGAGACAGTGATCACTGGAGGAGCACAAAGTTAATCCTACTTACTGTTGATGAGCCCAGGGCCGATTTTGGAGACCTAATTATTCCAGCAATTGAATGACGAATAGATTCAAATTTGGATAGTCTCTCCTTTCGCTCCTAGAAGGAATAAGAAGCAGCCATCACCAGCAGCAAACCATTGAGTGTTTACATTTTAATATTTAGGTATTTGTTCATAGCTCAGTTTTCTAACTGTCAAATATAAACTTCCTGGCATAACCAATGCATATAAATTTATAGCATTCTGCTCTTCTGGTCCCTCAATAAATGTCTTGATTTAGGAAAAGAGCCGTATGAATCACAAAATCATGAATCCTGTGTGAGCCAAGTCTCCCAAGGCCTCATTGATCATCATGGTCATGAAGGCGGTGACCAAAGGAAGGGAGGCCAGGGAACCAGCTGTAGGGGTGGGCAGGACACTCTCAGAAGCCAGTCGATCTGCACTTCTCTCTCCAGGTGTATTTCTGAATATCACACATCACAACAGAGTAAACACAACCTTGTCAATTTTCCAATCTTCAGGTCCACTTGACCACTGCAAATGAATGGAGAGTGAGTATAGAAAACAAGACTTCAAAGGAGAAGAAAATACAGAGAAGAAGGGTTGGGAAGAGTGCATGGGTCTGTGTGGAAGAGCTGGCCTGTAGTCCAGAACCGAGTCATGTTCCAGCTGCTGGCCAGTAGCAGGCAGAGAACAGAGGACTGGCTGTATCTCTACCATTTCCTCCCAGCAGGAAGCTCAGTGTTAGTTCTTCCTCCCTCCCTGTCTGTTCCAGAACCCACTATTAGTTTCTGAACCTCAGTGTGTCCCTCTCCCCTGCACACTAACACTGTTTTTACTTTTTCTAAGAGCAGCAGGGAAATAGTTCTAACTAGTCTATGAACATGAATATTAATCACTGGAAACAACTTAGTATAATCTTCTAATAGAACAGGTAATTTCTCCTTTTTCAACAGTACTCTGTAATAACTTAGGATTCCATGTAAATCACTATTTGTACAACAATTTGATGTATAAGACTGAAAAAAAAATACAAACCTTGCTTAGACCTACAAGGGAGCAGAAGTTGGTACTTTGAGCATACACATATTTAATATAATGTACTTTTAGAGAAACACATCACTCCTACAGCACAAATGATGATCCTCTTGGGAATGTGAGGAGTTGTTCTATAGCTTTAACCCAACCATGAGATAGAGATTTAAAAGACAAGAATAAAAATCATGCTAGAAGGCCTGAGCGAAAAAGCATTGAAACACAAGAATCTAGCGACCTTTGACAACGCATATCTGTCTTCCTCATCCTCAAATGGTCTGTATGCAAATGTTTTGTTGTTGGCTTTTAAATCTATTTCTGATGCTTCAGATGTCTGCAGAAGTAAATCAGATTTCAAAAAGGAACTATGGCCAGGACATAAGGCAGACAGACTACTGGGAAGTCCAGCAGGCATGTTGCGTGCAGGACAGCACAGAGCATACGTTCTGGGGAACCCTACGGCGGCTGGTCTGCTACTCTCCAGAGAAACTCGCCTTTTCTCCTCTTCCTTTCTGGAGCTGCTCTGAGCAGCTGGAGAAGGCACCTTGTTGCTGCAGCCACTGACAGAAAGATGTCATGGAAGTGCTAAGGTCACTGTATGGCGACGACAGCGTCACAGGAAGGCAGCAGGCACTTCTCCTGCGCCTGTGCGCTCTCCCTCTGGGCAGTGCTCTTCACTCGCATACCAGAGGAAGAGTTCTTGCCGTGTGAGAGTATTAGAAGACACAACTGAAAACTACACAGAGACAGCAGAACTCAAAACTCTAATTTTTCTCGAATAAAGTTAAAAAAAATCAGGGGAGAATTTTAAGTATAGAAAGAAGCATTCTCTATATGTGAAATAACTGTATGTATTCATGTGGTAAACTGGGATGCCCAGTTAGGCTTTGGGCATCCCACCCTAGAAAAGGAAACCCTTCATTAAAACTCTTGAACATTTCCTCAAGAGGGTAATATTAGAATCACATCACAGGTTAAAATTATCTGGTAAGTAAGTACAGCTGTGAGACGAAATGGACTTCAAGACCCACTTTCCTGACAAGGTACAAGGGACAATTGGTTAAAGGCACTATTTACATAGACTGATCTGAAAACACATCAATAGTCACAGGAACCCCACCTGACCATTTAAGGATGAGTAATCAAAATGCAAATAGGACTCACAAAATATCCCAGCCAGCTTCCGCTTACTTGGTGCCCAGATTTCTAGGAGCAAAACACCAAATTCATTTGCCAAGCCCTGTCTATGTAAGACTCAATATCAGCTTTAAATTACAGTCTACCTAATAACACTGCAGACTGTCCTGAATTTATTGACAGCTGATTTCTATAGGCAAGAATTAAATGGCTATTTAAAAGAAAATAAAGATGGAAAACTCTCTTCATTTCCAGTAGATACGGTGCAGGCATGCACCACGCTGCTGCAGGGGGTAGTGGTGTGTTCATTCATCCACCTCAAGTGAGGACAAGAAACAGAGTTTGCTCCACAGAAGACACAGGGAACAGATCATCTGGCAAAGTGACAGCTCCTCCCAGTGGAGGGAGGCAGTGGAGGAAAACAGGAGAGTACGAAAAAGCACCTCATCTTATGAAGATTCTGATGAGAAAAACAACCTGGACAGCCAAGTTCCACATGCACAATGAGTTTCCCATCCCATTTAAGATAGTTTTTAATAGTGTGAAATTAAATAAATAAATTAAATCAGATCTTGATAAGACACGCCCCACCCATCCATCCACACGTTTCACTGTGACTTTATGTCAAAGAATTGAATGGTTACTCTTAAAAATTAAAACTAGAGGTTACCTTCTAAATCAATCACCATCGACACCATGCCTAACTGCATCTATACATCTGCATTCACATACATATGAAACTAGACTACTTCATATTAATTCTAAATGTACCTGCTATCACCCATTACTGATATCTTCAGCCAGTACAGGAAACAATACCTAAACTTCCTAAAGCTTAGTCGTAACTTCCTGGGTTTCAACCAACTCTCCACCGTGACTCAAGCTCTGTAGCAGGAGTGCTGCCTGTGGCCGGAATGAGGATCTGCTGAGAGCAGAGGCGGCTCCAATGGACACCTTGCTGCTTCAGAGTGATGACAACCTCACTAAAAGCACCCAGCACTTCTCCAAGCAAGGCCCTCAAGGACATGCTATGGTGGGAAAGAAAAGGCTCCTCCACCGGAAGGGACTAAGACTGGACATCTGTCCACATGACTAGTCTGTTCTCAGCCTCCCCAGCAGTTGGAGGGAAGGCTCTGGACTAGAAAAGACCCTGCTACCAAGACTCCCTCCCTCCTGCACTGCACAGGTTCCGATAATGTGCAAGAACATCGGCAGCCACAGTTACTGCCCACAAAGGCCAGTCCTATTCCATGGCCAGAGGCCCTCACACAGGTACGGGGGAGGAGTCAACTTTCAAAATGGCTATGGGAACACATTTTTATCCATAATGAATCATTAAAACAATGTTTTAATAATCCAATGTTATTTCCTGCAGACGGACTTCTGTAAACAAGCTCAATCTCATGACATTCTTTGAAGAAACAGCCTGCCCTAGAGGAACAGTCAAACCTGGAGCCTGAAGAATGGAGAAAAAGATGAAGACAGCTATTCTCAGAACGACAGGCTGAGAGCCAAATATCTTATACACTTCTTAAGCAAAGCAGCCATGAAATTTGCAGAGATGTTGCAAGGAAGATTGCCTGAGAAAGTCAATGCTGACAATGACTATGTAATGTATAGGAAATACTGTTAATATCAGCGCATCACTTTTTAAAAGGACTGCACTTATACAAAACTCAATCTTTTGCAGATGTTGATTTTTCTTGGAAGAACGAAGAATAGATGATTTTTGTTTCAACAGAGTTTAGACCTTAAATATTAAGAGAGATTCAGGATGATTTGGTTCTAACTGAAGGTGCTGAGGACTCATGCCCAGTCACCAAGTTGAGAATGCTGTGTTCTCCTCCGATGTTTGCATATTAAGGACACTTATTAAAAGAAAACACAGCCCACTTGCTAAAGTCAAGTATCTTTATACCCTGAAAACTAAATTAAGCCACAAATGTATAAAGGGAAAGTCTGATGATTTTAAAAAGACACCATTGTAAAATAACAGTGCTCGGGGCGCTGAGAGCTAAGCTGTAAAATGTTACATCATTTTTCTTGCTTTCTTAAGTCTATGCCAGCTGCACAAGATGATGCCCCTGGGTAAATCAGAGCGAAGAAGGTGGCTGTAACAAGCTCCCCTCCTATTTAACACCCAGATACAGTTCAAGCGCTACAGCATTTCCCTAAATGTGTAGCCAAAATCCCCAATCATCATCATCATCATCATCATCATCATCATCATCATCATCACAGTAAGGTAGAAACAGATGACCATATTGCTCTTTTTCCACATGCGGACTCCCCACATCAACTGACTTAGCCCAGAGGGACACAGCACTGTCACTCAGAGTCCACAGTTGGGATGAGGGTTGCTCTTGCTCTGGTAGTATCACAGAAACTTCATCTGTGCTTGGCATAGTCACTCCTCCTTCCCCCAAGACACTATCTGGAAATGACCCAGAAGTGTGAGGTGCATTGCCACCCGCCTCTTGAGGAACACCTCCCTGGTGCCACAGCAGTGCTGAGGGACTTCGTTCTGTGTGGTTTTGCTTTTTGAAAAAAATGTAATTATTATGAATTAACTTGTCTAGACTCATATAACCAAGCTTTTGTTTTGAAAACAATGAAGGGGCATAATAAAGCAGTCAGTTCTTCTACTTTCCTTACAGAAACAATGAACTGAGGAACACAGAATACTCGAGTAGCCATGTTGTGTAAATCCCACATGTGCAATCAAGTACTTTATCAACTTCACCTACTCTCTAGCATTAGCCATTTAAGAAATTGTTCCCATCAGGTTAGAATAACCTCACCAAAAAGAATTAAAGAAAAAAAATGAAATAAGTTTAGGGGGGTGGTTCAAGACAGGTTTTCTCTGTGTAGCCTTGGCTGTCCTGGAATTCACTCTGTAGACCAGGCTGGTCTTGCACTCACAGAG